AGGCTGTTTCGCTCCTTGTTGGGTTGATATTGGCCTGTGGAGTGCTGTTAGTCCAGGGTAGGCTGCAGTTGAAGAACCTAACGGGCCTTCTACAACTACTACTTACAACGATGAGGTCGGTAGAAGCGGTCGGGCCCGTGGTGGGCAGGCCAGTGCGTCCACCCCAGGCGATGAGGCCGTTGGACGAGTTGCGGGCAAGAGCGACGCTGAAGCTGGCATCACTGAGTCCCTGCTGAACCATGCTGGTGAAGAAAGGGGCATAAGGGATCTGGAACGCCTGGCGGTTCTCGCTGAGGCTCCCCGAATAGGCACTCGTCAAGGCAGGGTACGCCATGCCAAGAATGCCCTGGGTCACGTTGTTACCGTACCAAAAGGTTTGGTTGGCCAGGCCGACCTGCGTTTGTTTGACGGTGATACCAGCAACGGTCAGGTCGCTGTAGCCCATGGGGCCGGAGACGCGTTCACCGGAGCCGTAGCCGAGGGTGAAGTGTATGTCGGGGATCTCGCCATACTTGAAGCTGTCGATTGCGGGGTTGCCGAAACTGCACGACTCTTGAGGGTATTCTATGGTTCCTCCTCGATTGGTGCAGGAAAAGTCGGACCGGGCCGCCCAGGTATCGCTGCTTCCAGTGTCGAATATCATCTGAATTGGCGTGCCATCCCAGATGACTTCCATGGCATACTGCGTCCCGTAGGGCGAAAGGGCGGTGATGTTCTGGTACCCTGCGCCGGGCTGTCCCTTCTCAGCGGCAGCAATGGCGGAAGCGGCATTGTGTCCGGTGATGCGACCATGAAAGGGCTTCAGGACCTGGCGGTGAGTTGAGGTCTCGTCGGAGGATCGATCACGGACTGCCTTGATGCGTTGAAAGGAGACGCCCTGAAAAGGACTCGAGAGATCAATCTCAGCGTGGACCAGTGTGGCCGTGAGCAGGCCAGCGCCCGCGAGAGAGGTGAGCAGGCTGATGGGTTTCATGTCGGAAGGCCTAACAACAGGAAGAGGGATTCAGTTCTGAACGAAAGACTTGTGGGTGAATGTTGAAATGGAAAGAAGTAAGAAATCAAAGGTGATGTCCAGGATGGACCTGAAAAAACACACGAAACCGACAGTACGTGTCAGGGTAAAGAGGACGATGATGGCCCAGGCGATAGAACGAAGAAAGGGGGGGGGGAGGGATCGGAGGTATAGAAGGGGTGGACGGACTTGTAGCTCACGGTGTCAAGGCAAACAGAAACATGCATCCCGATGGCGAGGTGAATCAGAGACTTCCTAGGCGAAACTGCAGCAGGCAGGAGCGAGCGGATGACAACAGTGGCATTGCGAGGAAGGTGCAGAGAACCGACCAAAACCACACGACGCAGCAGACACGAACGCAAGTGTCCGAGAGAGTTTCTGCCTCGAACCATGTTTGTTCCCACGGTAAGCTACCTTACTTACCTACCTACCTATTACCTTAGGTTTCCAAGGTAGATATTCTGGAGGCCACCGAGCTTTCGCTTGTTAGTGGATGCAACTATCGGCCCGGTTCAAGAGCAAGGTACAAACTGCACATCACTTGAGCAGTGCTGTCTAGGCTTGTTGACCCGATCTAGCCGAATCACCGATATTCTGTACTCCCTTATAATGCGAGCTTGCGGCACCGGTCCCGTCAGAAACTCGATCACCCGCCGGCAGTGTTGCCCAGGATCGGGTGCCTGCAGTGGACGGTGTTGGTCATCGTCAATTCGAGGCGTGGAAGAGGCATATGTGACAACCACTCAGGGGCACCTTGACGGCATGCCAGCACCAAGCACCCAGAGCCGATGTCTTCCTCCGAGGCCGGTCGCTCTGCATCTGTCAGATCGGCCATGGACAGGTGACACGACGGCCGACTTCAGTCCAAAGGTCCGGCTTGTCATCCTTGAAAGCACGGGTGACATAGTTTCACGGGCAAAGTTCGCCAAGCAAAGCAAACCATGTCACGAGAGAGCATCTTGTTCATTTTATATGTCTCGTATGTCTACCTCTTTCGTCAAGTCGATGCTGTTTCACACCATGCCGTGCGCCACGGCCACGATCACAGGCAGAGCGCTGAAAGCCCACATCGACCGGCCCACGACACTGGCCCCCGACTCAGCAGGCGCCATGGTATGGTATCCCTCCAAGCCTACCTCTTCGATAGCATGTGCCACGAAGCCAACGCTTTCGTCGTTCGGGTCGCCCCCAATCTCGGCCAGTACTTGATTGTGGTTTCCAGATAACAGAGTGGCAGAAATTTCGTCCAAGTCCTTTGTGAAGTTGCTCGGGTGCCATTCGTAGCTCAGACTCCGGAGATCGATGTCGATGGCAATCAGGCTCATCAAGCTCATAGGCTCTCCTTCGTTTGTAACATCCACGGTGAGGGTCAAGTTCATGCGATCGAAAGCTCGATATGTGCCAGACTCAGGGAGAGTCCATTCGAAGAGGACGGGTGCTGAGATATTGAGTACTTGTTGTGTCTCGGGTGTTGTGAACTTGATTTCCTGATCATTGTCGGCAAGCACAACTGTCATGGTCGAGAGAAGAATAGCAAGTGGGGTGAAGAAATGCATGTTGTAAGGCGATATGCAAACCATGCAAAAAATGTGGTGGCTATGAGAAACAACAGGTGAGAGTCAACAGAAACTAGCAGGATGAGGTTCACGGCGAGGACCAGTTGACAATAGAGAGGAGGAAGACGTGAACATTTATTTGGTCAGGAAGGGGGGAGTGCCTCGGCCAGGAGCCCCAAAATGGGTTTGTACAGTATTGACTTGGCAATGAAGTTGACATGTCCTCTCACTGGTTCTTACATCGATTCTCTGTCAAGGCTCTGCCAACAGGCGAGATTGATTGGGTTTCCCGAGTCAAGTCATTGAACACATCATTGCTGAGCCGCAGGGCTGGAACACTTGCAAGAGGCTGTTTGCTACAGTCGAGCTTGGCTTCTACAAAATCTCGGATCTCGGCCATTCACAGCTATACTTGGCAACTGTCAAAGTAGGTGCCTAATGCTCGAGCGATTTCTGAGGCCCGCCTGGACTATTGGTCTGGGCCAGATGCTCGGGATGCGACGCTGTGGCCCGCAGCGCGGTCACTGTCACGGGGTGAGACTCGGAGCATCTCACCCTTCCGCGGAAACGGACCCCCGGCGCGACGATGGCCCGCAGGTCCGAGGCTCTGCGGCACAACTCCGCACAAAATGCGACGACGCCCTTCCAGTCCTTCTACCGCGCGGTACTACGTGCTCGCTTGATACCGCGATGGCCACGCAAAGCCCCGACCCGTTCCTCCGGATGAGGACTCTTACCCCCTCAACCCTCCTCTACGACCCTCCCTCGCCCTCCCACGATCTAACGATCCTCTTCGCATGGTACGCCGCCTCTGACGCCCACATCGCCAAATACCTGTCTCACCACCTCCTTCTCTTCCCGCACACCCGCCTCCTCCTCATCAAACACCCAGCCACGCACGTCCTCTCACGCCCTCGTTCCCAAGCCGCCCTCGCCCCGGCGCTGTCCCTCATCGCCGGCCTGCCCCCGCCGGCCAGCGACAAGGACCACCGCCTCCGCCTGCACGTCTTCTCCAACGGCGGCGCCGCAAGCCTGCACCGCCTCCTCGCCCTGCTGGGCCCCGCGGCTCTGCCCCCGCATGTCGCCGTCTTCGACTCCTGCCCGGCCCCCTTTCGTTTCCGCAGGACCCACGGCGCCCTCGCGACGGGCGTGCCCTGGCCGCTGGCACCGGTACTGTACATCTTGCTGGCGATCTACTGGCTCCTCCACGTGCCGCTGCGCCGCTCGAGCTCTCTCGACCGGGCGGCGGCGGCGCTCAATGCGGAGCGGGTCACCGCAACCGAGCTGCGGCGGACATATGTATACAGCGCGGACGACAAAATGGTCGGCTGGAAGGATGTCGAAGCGCACGCCGACGAGGCGGCGGCTGGAGGGCTGGAGGTGAGAAGAGAGCGGTTCGTGGGCAGCGGACATGTAGCACACGCCCGGACCGACTCTGCGCGTTATTGGAAGGTCGTCACGGAGACGTTCAAGAAGGCGGCATGAAGCCGATGAGGCCGAAGCGCGCATCGGAGGGTCACGCAAATCGTGAACAGCTGCTGACTGATATTCCGCATTACTATCTGATACATGTGGACAATTGTCCATTCACCACCTCCATGCTTTTTTTTTCTGTTTGGCCAAAACCTGGCCTACCACATTGTGCCCGCCCATCCCATTTGTGAGCCTCTGATTGAAATAATCGGGCAGAGATATGTATGCGCAAAACGCCTGCGCATAACTATGAAGCCAAAGCTAGGAGGGGAAAACAAAAGGCAAGCGAAAAAAGAAGAAAAGGAAAACGAAAAGTGTCGCTGGGACAACAGGACTACCATGTCCCATCGTTCTGTCTGCGCGGTAAACTTGAGCGGGACATCGTGACGAGCTGTCCGCGACGAGAATGCCACAGAAGAACCATCATCCAGTACATGGTATAGTAGCAAGCTGTTCAAGGTGGACAACGACCGTCAGTCGATGGCGAATCCTAGCGTGGTGACAGTAGGTAAGACCATGGCACGGCCGATATCCAAGGCAATTCCAAACGGACGATCAGCAGGATGGAGAAACGTTGTTCGTCGATGGAAGTTTCGTGCAGTTGAAGGATCAACGCGACCGTCACGATGAAAGCATGCGAGTCCAATGGATGTGGCTGAACCTCGTCCCCACCACGAACGTCCTTTCAAAGTCATATGCGTGCGAATGAGGTCCCAGCAAGAAGCGGACGAGCATTAGAGTTCAAGTCGTCAAGAGGCGTCATGGCGCGTCAATCAAAAGCTTGGACATGTGCATCGGGGGCCGAACGACACACGTCAAATAAGTGGTCCCTTCCCCGTGGTCGTGTATCATGAGGCGGATGCGGTGCCCTTCCAAATGGGTGAGACGTGCAATAAACAGCATCTTGAATCAACGATCGGGGCGAATCAACGATGGCGTTGAGTATGCAGCACCAGTCAATAAGAGGCGGGCACGCAGAAGAATTCGTCAGGCGTCAGACGGTCATGCGAGGCATCATGTTGATCGAAGTCGAAAGATCATGCACATCACACAAGGATGCATCCCCAAGTCGACGAGGAGCAGCCCTGGCGCACCTAAGCCGCACCAGGAGCTGGGGGGCCGCCCGCTGGGGGAGCGCTACCACCTTGCTGTTGCTGGTACATCAATGACTGGTACCAAAGGGCCAGGTAGTTCTGGTAGCCGCCATCTGGATTCAAGTCAGTAACGGCAGATTAGTGGCAGCCAACGGGTGGAAACATACATTGGGCGTACGGATCAGATCCATCTGCAGCTGCCGGCGCCGGAGCCGCCGGAGCGTTAGCCTGTGCTGGAGCATTAGAAGCCTGCTGCGAGTAACTGTCATAGTCATGGTGCTGTTGTTGACGACCACGGCCACCACCATCACGTCCACCGCCACCACCTCCGCTCTTTTGGCGCTGTTGACATGTTAGCCGAGAATGCTCATCCCTCGCAAGTGTTGTATGGACCTACCACTGCGTCCACCTTCTCTTCGATCGCTGCCTTTGCTTGCGTGATGCTTTCGCGGCTGCCAATGAGGGCGATTTCGCGCTCAACTTCACCAGGACCAGACGACTGGGCAACATTGATTTTGCACCCAGTGTTATTTTGCATCTCCCTGATGGTTTCGCCGCCCTTGCCAATGATCATACCAACAGCCTCAGATGGAACGTGAATAGTGTCGTTGATCTTATCATGACCGCCGCCACCCGCCGCCGCCACTAGGACCATCTCGAGCATTGTCCTGTCGAGGGCCCCTCTTGGGCGGGACCGGCTGGCCGTCACCCACGGCTGTCGCTTGTCGACGATCTCTAGAATTGCCTCCTTTGGGCCATGGCAGCGGCCCTGGGGAGAGCCCAATGAGGTTGACGGGGCGAAGGGCCGTTGGTGCTCTTTGGCTTCGCTCGTGATGTTGATGTGGCAGCCGGAACGCTCTTGAAGGTCGCGAATCGTCTCACCGCCACGTCCGATGATGAGGCCAACGGTCCTATCTGGCACCATAATCTGCAGGCAGTCTTCACCCTCCTTGGGGGCGGGGCCGCCCATGCCGCCGGCGCGCGGATCACCTTGCGACTTGAGGGCTCCACCTCGGTTGATCACACTCATGCCGCTGTCCTCGATGATGCGGTTGATGGCAGTCTTGACTTCGGCGCGGCGTGGCCTTGGGCCTGAAATTTTGCACGAACGGTATGGGCCGCGTCGGTCGATGGCATGAAACTGTACCACGGCAGCCGCTCTCTCCCTCGATGCGACGGAGGTTCTCGCCCTGTCGGCCGATGATGAGGCCCACGAGGCTGGACTCGATCTGAATGGTCTCGGCGTGGTCGTCGCCACCATTGCTACGGAGAGGGGAGCGCTCGCGGCCGCCGCCACCGCCGTTCTTGGGCGAAAAGGTGCGGCCTCCGCCTCGGGGGCCTGGGGAGTAGGAACGCTCGCGACCGTGGCCACCACCGTGGCCGTAGTCGCGAGAGGGGCCTCGATCCTCACGACGCTCATCGCGGTAGGGGTTGCCTCCGTCTCGGTAAGGGTCACGGCGCGAGGGTGGTGATCGGGAACGAGAGTTTTGCTGATAAGCGCGAGGATCTTGCGGCCCGCGAGGCGGTTCATTGGCATACACGACTGGTCGATCGTAGGAGCTGACCCCCTTCTCGGCGGCAAAAGCCTTGGCTTGGGCAATAGCATCAGCAAGGCTGACGGTACCAGAATTGACAGGGCGGATAGAGCTGAGGTCGACGCTGCCAGAGGCCGAGGGTTGAGGCATCGGGTAGCCGCTGGCGCCAGGATAGTGAAGCGGCGGAGCTGCGCCCTGGGGCATGGGAGGGTAGGAGGGAGGCGGTTGTTGAACGCCGGGGGGCGGGGGGTAACCGGGATGAGCAGGTGGTTGTCCTTGTGTGGGCGTCGTCGAGGGACCGCGCTGCGCAGCGCCTGCGGATCATCGAGTCAGCTTTTTGAAAGAACGCAGAGTGAAAGAACGCAGACAAAGGTATAGGGACGACGGCATGACAGGCTTGAGACCTGGCATTGTGCATGGTACATGTTTCGGGTGCTTGCTTACCAAGGGCGGCGAGGATCGACGACAGGTCGCGCGGTTGTTCAGCCATGGTGCACGATTCTTTCTGTTGCCCGAGAAGCTCGTTTAAATAAAGAATAATGACGCGTGGGCAGCACGAGTGTTGCTACAGCTACAAGATCTTGGTCGCGAGAGAGCGGACACTGATGACCTGCGAGGGTTACGAAGCTTCGAGGTGTCTGGACGACGTAAGAACAACAAGCGCTGTGGATTAACTGCTGCCGGCCACAGATTTGAAGGATTCGCGATTACACTGTCGATGACTTCTTGGAGTCAAGGACGACTGTTGGGTCAGAGCGGTGTTTGAGTTGAGGGGAGGGGAGAATCAAGTGGCAGGCTGTTGGCGGGTGATGTGGTGGTGACAGGTGAGGAAGGTTTGAGCATTGCGCCTAGACCGCCTGCTCGATTGGGAAGGGCTGAAAATCTTCAAGCAGAAACTGCTGTGATCATATCGGAGAAAATGCTACAGTCACGTGGTAGTCCCAGGTCTCTTGGTGGCTCACACCGGCGTGCACGTGACCATATGGAAGAGGCCAGCATAATGAATTGTTCGCGTGCAAGTTGCGAATGAGTCCTCGATATTCGGGCTGGCTGTGAACAACATCCTGTTGTCATTAATTACGTGCTTATTATGGCGGCTTCAACCCTCCATTACTCGACGCTTTCCACAATGCACAGCTATGACCAGGTATCTGCTGACTGCAGTCATTGATTCCTCTCGCATGACCATAATGTAGTTGCGTTGCTTCTCAGCTCACTGGTTTCATTCGCTGCCGCTCATTCGGTTCGAGCTCTGACGCAAAAACAGCACCACGGCGAACGAGACAGGTGTGGAAGTAGGCCTCTGATTGAATATCCGTGACCAACGGGGGCGTGGGAAAAGGAGACAGAGTGACAGGTCCGTCACAGGCAGGTCACTGCTTTCATAAGCTACGGAGTCAAGATCAATCCCATTTCCTTCCCAATCCAGAGAATCACGCTTGCTGCCTCCCATGCGACCACTCTTGGAGTTTCACTAATTCGAACGAGGCGTCTCCTCAGAGCTGTTGAGCTGACGTGAGGTCAGGCTATCAGACCAGGGGCTTCTTGCCCCAAACGACCCTGTGGCGATAGAAGGCCCGGTGACTGCTCGACTTGAGCTCGCGGCGGAACTGCAACAGGTACATTTCAATCTCTTCAGTCGTCCAATCAAGGGCGTGGGCGAAGAAGGCGATGTACCCTTTGGGGTCCTCTAGGAAGGTCGCCTCAGAGAACTGGGCAATCTCCTTCGTCTTGGCATCGGCAGGCCAGTTGCCGACGGGGTTCTGTCTCCACGTTAGTCATATGCAGTGTGAGAGGTGAGGTATGGGGTGCTCGTACGATGATCTCACGCTCCTCAATGTCGACAAAGCCGGCCGCCTCCATCGCCTTTCTCTGAATGTGTTCCTCAAAGACGGTGAAAGGACGACCGAACTTCAGTCCGCCCTTGACGAAGAACTTGCCCCACTGGGCCAAGGCGCTCTTCTGGTCCAGGGGCTCGCCCTGGTTCTCAAAACCGGACGACGGCTCGTGGCTCTCGAGGTAGCCACCGGGCTTGAGGCACTTGAACGCCTCCTTGAACAAAGCAGTCCAGTCAGCGATGCTGCCGATGAGCCAGCGAGTATGGACGTAATCGATGCTGTTCTCAGCATATGTCCATTCTCGGGTGCAGTCGTCAATTTCACTGAATGAGTCGCCGAGCGTAAGCATGTACATCACACGGCGAACCCAGAGGGGCAGAAATAACATACAACTTGAGGTTGGGCGGAATCCAAGAGGGCTGGATGGGGGACACGTCGGTGCCGATCACCTCGGCGCCGGGGAACTCATCCGCAAAGTCGCTATGGACGGTGAGCTGCTGTGTGACGACAAGAACAGTGTCCGGAAACACTCACATTGCCCAGATACCTGTGTCACTGTTAGAAGCTGCTCCCGTGGAAGATGATAGGTGCCTTACCTGTTCCAGTTCCGATATCAAGAACTTTCTATCGACCCATATGTTAACAACAACCATGAAAATTCGGACAGCATAGACTCGTACTTGAATACCCTCTTGGAGTGGGGCGAGATGAAGCTTTTGACCCAGCATGAGGAAACAGGCGTGGTGGCTGTTCGGCGTAAGCCATACATTGTGGAACCATAGGTACACACCAACACTCACTGAATGTCAAGCCCTTCTTGCGCTCTGTCATC